GCAGTCCCGGGAACAGTCCCATCAGCTCCTGCTCCAACAGTCTCAGCAGCGTTTTTTTTTATGTCTCTGTTGTGGCAGCTGAGGGGAAGAAACATCGATTGGATTTCACTGGCATGAGAAGATTAACCGTGCTCCTGGGTTTCCAACCAGCTTCTCCCACCCTGGGCAAAGCCTTGGCATTAATAGTTAAAATTCTTCTGACCGGTCTCTGTTTTAATTAGTGAGCAGAAAACTCCCTGGCCTCTGCCAGGAAAAAAAAAAAAAGTCCTTAAGATCAAAGTGGGCTCCAGCTCACGTTTCTGCTTTCTTCCATGTTCGAAGAAGCCTGTTGGTAAAATGAACTCTGTTTCTGATGGAGATGGAAGGACATAGTCCATCAGCTGCAAAAGGTGGGTGCTATGTCCTGTGTGAAGCAATCCCAGTTCAATGTGGCCAAAGAGAAGGGTTTTTGGGGTTGGGTGATTTTGTCAGTACATCCACAACAACAACTTTAGGCTCCTTAGGGAGGGGGAATCCTTGCCTCACACGTTACTGTCGATGTATCTACAGGATAAATAAAACATTCAAGATCTTCTACTAAATAATAAGAAAACAGATGAAATTGTGTGTATTTGTTCCGTATAAGGAGGCAACTTGTGGAAGAGAGACACATAAATCAAGATTGTATTATAGCAATCAGCCCAAATAACCACACAAGAGAAACTTCGGAGAACGTTTTTTCAAATCTTCAGATGAGGAGAAGGGAGACGTACACCCCCCAAACTGAGTCAGCTGCAAGTACCCCCCCCCAAATGCTGGACTCATCCTGGTGCAGAAGAAGGATTGGAGTGAGGGGAATGCCAGTCTCCTTGGTGAAGGGCTCCCTGCTTAGAAACACAAATCTGGAAATGGAAGCCTCAGACCAGTATTTAGGCATCAAGACATGGCCACCAGAATGACTTCACTGGCCCCAGGTGCATTTTGCTACTTACCGTCCTCTCCCTGGTCCCATGTTTTTTTCTGCACCACGCAAAGATTCACAACCCTGATGCTGATGAGGGGAGCCTGAGCCCTGCTTCCACTTCATGTTAAAAGTAGTTGTGGAAAATGTAAAAGCTCAGTTTAAGCATCTCTGATTTTCTTGCTTTCTGTCTTCATGTGCCTTGTCAGGGCACACCCACCCCAGGACACTTGTCCATAAATATTTTCCTCTGGTAGCGTTGGAGACTGAAGCATTTCCACACTTTCTGTCCTGAATGTTTAACTCACCAGGCATAGGGCTGAGTTCAGACCTCTGCCTGGATGTCACCAAGCATCTGGAACAAAGCCCTTCCCATGTCCTCAAACAAATGGAAAAGCACAGTGGCCTGGGCAAAAGGAAGGGAAACTCTCAAAGGAGAAAGGCAACAACTCATTAAGTTTTCTGAAAATGATTTTTGAGCCTTGCTGACAGTTCTCAGGAATGTCGCGTCTAAGACAGGTAAAAGGGCCCCAGGTCTGCTGTGAGAGGTGTGGGAAACTACTAGAACAGATTGTTCATGTTATGAAAGCATCTTGGATCCCATTGAGGTTGAGAAACAACGAGGAATATGGAGCTTCTTGAGCACACAAAAGAAACCTGTATTTTCTCAGAACGGCCTTACCTGGAGAGAAGTTATCTGCAGAAGGCAGAGCTTCCAAGCTTCTTCTGGAGACCCAGGTGTGAGACAATTCAAGGAAGCTAAAGCTTTTACTTTCAGCAGTGAAATCACTCCATCTACACTCAAGAAGCACTGATGTTTTACTCATCTTCCTCTTGAAGTGAGATGGCATCTATAAAAAATAAAAATGTGTCACTGTAGGCACTTTTTGCTTTTATTACTAGCTCTCTGAAGTTCAAAATTTCTGTAAGGCTTCATATGATCCATGGTAGAAGCATCTGCCACACACAGACCCAGCAAATGTGCACTAATCTCAGCCTTGTGCTAGATTTAAAACCACACTGTAGAAAAAATGTCCTCTCCTTCAGTGGATTCAGTGACTGATATCAACACCTTCATCATTACCTCCAGCAAGGACTGGGAGAACAGGACTAATCTCATACAGCCTGAAAAAACAGTGGAAAGCTGGCAGGCAAACGATACTCATGAGACTCTAGATCTGGACTGCTGAATTCTGCTGCTCCTGAAGCTGCTCTTCTGACCAAGACCCAAGGGTGGCAGTGAAAGCTGGGGTGCCTGGGGGGAACATCCCTGCCTGCCTTCTCCCTGGGGCAAGAGCAGCACTCCCCCACATGCCCAGTGAAGGCTTAGTTCTGGAGCAGGAGCAAAAGGAGACATCCAAGGGCTTTGAATGAGGCTTGCAAGACTGAAGGGAGGACAGGGCACAGCTGAAACTGGGCTGGGTGGAGGTGAGGGAGGGATGAAGAACGGAGACAGGTGAGGAACTGAGACAAAAGGCTGTGATCTGACCCAGTGAGTCTGGGGGCTGCGTGTAAGAGCGGACTACAGCCACAGAGAGCAAGATAACGGCAGTGCAGTAAGACTGGTAAGGATGACAATGAACTCTGCATGCAAACAACCTCAAGAGAGGGTGAAATAATCACCTGCCACAGGCACATTTGCCCCCAACTCCTGGGACCATGGGTGAGGCAGCTGCTCTTGGTACACCCTGCTGAGATGCCTGCAGGGAGCCAAGCACAGTCCTCCTTAAAGACACTGAAACTTCTGCCTGAAGGAACCCTGGGACTTCCAAGTTGACCCACCACTTCCCACCATCTCCTGTGCAAGTCTCTCCCTGTATTCCTCTTTGTATATCCAGCTTTTGCAAGCAGTTTGAGATGCTCAGATACCCGTCACATGATTACAAAACTGATGAGCTGTGCCGTGTCAGGTGGCAGGAAACCGTGCCCTCAGTCACGAGGCCCAGCCGTCTGGCTGTGTGGCAGGCAGAGCTGGAGGCATGAAGCTTTTCCCTGCCTTTATAGCTGGTTATGTGGCTTTCTCTGTTTAAAAAAGAAACATGAAATAACGTCAACCCGTGTTGTGCAATCGCCTGTGGATGAGCAGAGCTGAAGTTTGTCATTTCACGACCTCGTCCCTTCCGCTGGGTTAGGGCTTCATTTTGTAACACATACGCACGACTGAAATGCTCAGCCACACTCCTGGTGTCCCTTCACCACCGAGCATTACTTCACTGATGACTCTGGGAAGCTCATTACTAACAACATAGACAAAAAGTCATTTTTTTTCAAGCAGCAGCTGTTTATTATTGGGAAAAACATTAGGACTTTAATTTTCTTCTCTTACATATATTTGATTTCAATAAAAATAATTTAAAAAATTTTAATTTCTTTTTATATTACATGAAAATAACTTGCAACAAGAACTGTGAATTTTGGAAGCAAGAAAACACAGACAAAACTGTTGTTTAGCTGCTGAGATGTATGTAGTACTTGGGCTTTTTTAAACTCACGTAGAGAAACAATCACAACTGTCATTCCAGTGAAGAAAATTAATCCATCTATAAAACATCTTGAAGTTTGAGAATGATATATAGTTACACTAGGAAGGATTCATAATATAGTATGTGAGTTCTAACATAATGCCTAAAATATATAAATTTCTCAGGCTTTACAAGGTCAAGTATTTTAGACAATATTCCAGTGGAAAAACACTACAAACCTATTACGATCCTTTTAAAGTTCTTGTTGAATTAACGTATATTTCCTTTTGAGGAATTTCAATATAATAATTCAAGCAATAAAATATTGCATACGAAGTAGCTTGCAGAATTTTATTCACGCTAACTTGGATGACTGCTGTTTTACAGGATGAAGCACCTTTTAGTAACAGGGATAAAGCATCCCTGTTACAGTAGCTGATGAAGAAGCAGATTTTGTGCACAGACTGATAAAACTTTCATGACAACTCTGTAAATCTGATAAAAATTACCACATATCTGGCAATAAGAAATTGAACTTAAGGGAATTAAAATAAGCTTAAAGCTGGGGTAGGATTACAGTGCTACAAGACAAAGAATCTATTAATTAATCCAGTTTATATTATCTGACAAAAACCTGTAATAAAACACCGATTTCTTTCTCTTTTTGTTTTGTAAAATACATGCAACCTACTGCAATTTCCGTTCCCTGGCTTACGTCGTCTCTTTTCAGCTGAATGTGAATACAGTTCATCTTTTCATTAAGTTCCAGGCTTAACAAACACCATTCAGCATCACCTGAATGAATTCTAATAAAATTAAGTCCCCAAAAAGCCAAAAGAAAGCCATTAGCACATAAAGGCCGTGCCTTAGCCCACAAACCACTATCTGCAGAGACACGCAAGGTTAAAACGAGACGGAATTTGTGTAGGTAGTTGTTTGCATTGAGTACCATATTACACTGAGTGTAACTGTCCTGGCCACGGCTGGCTGATGGAAAATCACTCTTCACCAAGTAAAGGAAAAAATAGCATTAACACCATCATCCAAACTGCTCTTTTGTAACTGTCTAACCTCAGGGGGCAGCTCTTTTCTAAAGGACGGTGGAAACGCTGGCTCGACAAACAACCCGATGCCATCGACAGTGACACCGTCAAGCCCTTTAAAAACAAACATTTAATTTCAGTATATTTGGGGGGAATTTTGTTGTTGTTCTTGCCATCTTTTTGTTCTTGGCTTTTTTATTTTTGTAACTGTCTGCTGTTTCCAGCCCCATCTCAGCGGCTGGAACGTTTCATTCCTTCCTCTGCTGTTTTTTTCATTTTGCACTTGGCAGATGGTGGCCACCACACCCCTGCTCCTCACGGCCCTCAGTCGCCGCTACTGCCGCCTTGTTTTCCTTCGCTGCTCTCCCCGTCCATACCCTCAGTGGGATGGACAGCCCTGGAATGTGATTGCTGAATTAATCCGTGCTTTCTTTTCCTAAGGAATGCCTTATTTTGCAACCGTGGCTGTGCAGACCTGCTGTAATTTTAAATAACGAGTGGGCGGTGGCTCTTTGGAGATAACTCAGTGACGCAATTTAGAAAACCAAGGAAGCGTTTGCACCCGACCGCAACAGTTTGAAGATCAGGTAAAAATTTGGATCTAAACTATGCCACTTGTCTTCCTTTGTAAATGTAGAATTCCTTCTAGTTTTACCAAGAAATATTCTATTGCCATGAACTACAGAATTTTTGCTATTATTATGCATATTTATGTTTTACTTCTCTAAATATATTACTCATTTGTTTAATTCATTCAGGAACCTACCATACTGTCGGCCAACTACAGTAATCCAGAAATATTTCCTGTGTACGAAAGGGGCTTAATCACTAAGCCACATCTTCCTGCAAAGCTTCAGTATTTTTGATTGGTAAAAAGCATTTCTCATTGAAATAATACTGAAGTGGAGCCCAAGGCCTCCTCCATATATATGACCGTTAAGTTAATTAACTTTTCAGAACAAAATGCTGATCACATTCAACGACAGGTCACACTATTGTTTTCAAGACAGCTCCATTGGTAGCTCTGGTGGTACCACTGTGTATCTTGGGTCAAGCCTAGGTGTGAAATCCTTGAAGTTCTTAGATGCTTCAGTACCAAATACATCTAAAACTTTCCTGTTCATGAGAGCAAACCTGAAAAAGAAGAGACATAAGAGAGTAAACAGATCATTCGTTTACTTTTAAAAAAAAATTTAAGTATTTTATTTTTTAAAATTATTAATTCAATTTTTAAATAGAATTATTTAAGAAATTTCAGCACATGAAAGACCATTCAACTCTTGGAAATGCAGGCTTCAGCCTGTGCTGTTTAGAACTACAACTTTTCATCTTGGCAACAAAGATTTTAGAAAAAAAAAAAAAAGACAAATTTGATTAATAGAGCTTTGGGTAGACATACTTTATATAACACAGCTTGGGGAAAAGGGGAAAGGAGGGAGTATCCTTCTCCTTCTACCTTCATAAAAAAAAAAAAAATATCTAAATATACTACTTTTCTTTCTCACTTAGCCTCATAAAACTCTGGCCATGCCTTCCCAAGTGTGGATAACAATATTATGGGTGTTACCATCTATTTCCAATTCTTTATTCTTCAGAATTGTTGAGTCAAAAAAACCTAGGAGGCATCAAAAGAACCTGCCTGTATGGACAGTGTCAAAATTACAATTATAGATATTTACTTCAGAGCATAAATAAATAAATGAACAGAATATAATTTCTTTTCCCTCTTCTCTTTCAACTAAAGCCATTTTAGGACTAGCACAGGAGGGAAAAATGCAGCCAAAGCTGGACACCTGCACTGAATTCATCACCCACATCATGTTTGTATGGCCTCAGCAGTTGGTTGCAGTTTGCCTCCAGGCTTCCCAAGGAAAATACTGTCCCTAGCAATGTATTCAGTCACCTGATGTCCACCTAAGAGTGCACTGTGCCACAGGCAGTGTAGGTTCAATATGCCTCTGATTTCACTTCTATTTTTATAGTCTGGAGAGCTCACTGTCATGACAAACATCAATTTTATAATCTCATTCATAAACTCATCCACATTAAGATTTGGATGCCTTGTTTCTTCCAAATACTCCCATGAGTATAATTGTGTACACTTAACTGAATTGTATTTTTATAAATCAGTTACAGCATACATCTATTTGAAAAGGTAAGCATTTTAGATCCCTACACCAAGTAAGAGAAAAAGTAACCAACAAGATATTACAGTGTAAATTTATAGTTATAATCAGTGAAAATTTTTCATTTTTTTTCCAAGGAAAAAAACTCCTTTGTCAACTGAAATAGGTGTCCTATAGAAATTACTGAATCTTCAAATGTTCTTAGGAAATAATCTGACATTTTAGTAATGTGTTTAAACATGTACTAATACCATGCTGTGGATCACTGTACATATTAAGTGATTTCTTCCATCTGTACAGTTCTTCAACAGATTCTTCATTTCACTGATATCTTAAAAGCATTCCACCCTCCAAGTGAACTACAGATAAAAAAGTCTTCAAGTAAAATACTCATCTGCTAAATAGTCACCTAGATTTAAGCCTCCACTCCTGTCGTTAGACTAAGCCTAGCAGTGTCACTTCAGCAGCAAAGAACTGGACACAAGTGGACTGGAAACCATTTGAAAAGCAAAGTAACTATGCAGGAACTTAGTCCATGGGTACTCCTTCAGTTCTGCTGTTGGCACAGAAAGCTGAATGTGGGCAATGACGTGCTTAGACGAGCCATAACACACCCCTGATGACATACCTGCCCTTCGTTAGTCGTAAAAGAAATTTCCAGTATGACGGTCTCAGGTGCTGCACTTCCATGACAGCCTGCAAGGAGAGCATTCTGTCAGAGCCAGATGACAGCACCAGGCAAAAGCTTCACCTGCTGCGTTACACTGCCCAAACCAGCAAAGGGATAGTTATGCTAATATATTTTCTTTTTTAACTTTTTAAAGATCATCTCATGATTCATGGCTTGAAGCAGCTGTGATCACCTGCTGGAGTCCAGCACTGTCAGCGCAGACAAAACAATCCCAGCTGAATTCGGTGCCCTGTGCGACCACCACCAGCACAGACTGATATTCCCAGAAGACTGTCTTTCAAAAGTGGTAGCCATTAACTTAGATCCCATTGCAGAGAAAGCAACAATAATCCTTATTATTCCTACATGCACGATTTTGCACTTGTGGATGCCAAATTATCCCCCGCTCACTCTTCACTTGATGATCTACCATTTCTTGTAGTCAGTCAACTTTATATTTCATGTTACATGTCTTAAATAATGTTATATAACCAAAATCCTTGTCTTCTCTCTGTTCTATTACTTTTCCAGATCACTTATGAATACAGTGAGCAACAAAAATCTCAGCATAGATCCCTTTGCAGATCTCCCCTTCCTTCCTCCTCCCAAAACCTAGTAATTTATTTCCAATCCTGGGCTCCTTTTTCATTAAGTAATGAAAAAATCTTTCCTCTTTTCTCATATTAACTCTGTTTCTGTTAGCCTCATATGATGGTCCTTGGCAATAGTATTTTACAGACTTCAGTGCTACAGACCTCCAGACACACCCCAAGCACTAAAATATCAGTTCACTTTGATACAAGGATGAGAGATATTCCCAAATGTATGGGAGTAACAAGGGGAAGGAGTGGAACTCTCCTGTCAAATATGAGACAGCGGAAGAGAGCTTTAGGGTCATTTTATGTTCTCTTTATTGAGGGGTACAAACAATATATAGAGAGGTCCAGAAAACATGCAGTGGGATGTTTCAGCAGAAGGTCCGGAAATGGAGAGACGTAGTGGAATAGTAATTTGGGTACCACTGAAAAGGAGCTTTTCTGGCTTATGTAGCCAATAAAAGGACTGAGGATGAAGGCATATAATTGACTTGGAAAGTGCAAGAAAGTGCAAGTGAAAACAACTACAGCTTGTTTCAAATATAAAACCAGATTTCCTTACTAATTTTTGCAGATTCTTTCAAACAGATAGCTTTAATTCTAATTAGTTTGAAGCAAAAACTTATTAAAGTTTTAAAATACTTTGCTTTAAAAAAAGTTAAAAAACCCATATTTTTTACAATATATTGTTTAAGAAACAGTCTGTTCATATGCTTATGAAAGGCCATGCATTTATGTTCATCTTGGCCAAATACATTTTCAGATCCTTTCCAAATAAGTCAATGTTTTGTATTAAGCTATGAGCATATGAGAAATTTGAGTCCTAGAAATTATCTTCCCACTGTGACACCCAAAAGCAGGGTGCAGGAGCCCCGATTCACAGCATCTTGCTCGAATCACTGCATCACACCATCTTTTCTAACCACTGTATCCCTGTACTCCTCACTTCAAACAACATTTGATTTAAAGAACTACATGTCCTGTTAGAAGGCAAGATACTTACTGCCTGAAAGCATATCGATGTAGAAATGGCATAGATGATGCTGTCTGCATGAGGAAAATAGGGAACCTTCCCTGCTTCAATTCCTTTGAAGTATAAGGTCTATATAAATAAATAAGAAATGCTGAACACAACAAAATAAACAAGGTAGCTTTTTACTTTTTATTTTACCTTTACAAAATAACATCAACTCTATTAAGCTATGCTCATACAGTTTTTGTATGTGTCCACAAATGTGACATTGCCAAATTATCCAAGATCAATAGAGTAAGAGGTTATTAATCTACAGAACAGGACCTAGCAGCAGTTTGGGTGTGAAGAGGGTAGTACAGATCTTAAAGATAAAAAAAGGGAAAGTTTACTACATTAAACTCTTCATTTTAAAAAAGAAAAGAACAATGCAGTAACTATTCAACAAAGTGAATATTCACCATTCTTAAGCAGCTTGAAATCACATACTTTCCTTTCTGAGAAAACATGGAAAGTTTATTTTCCTGAGCGCAGCTTGACCTTCCAAAGCAGCACACGCCTCTTTGGTCAGTTACCCTTGGCTTGCGTAAGATGATAAAAGTAGTAAAAAAAGAAAAAAAAAGAAAGAACACACAGCACTTTTCTTATTTCACTGCAGTCACAGTGTCTCAAAGTCCAGAGAAAACCATCCGCAATACAAAATAATATTGGGTTTTTTTTACAGCTAGTGTTCTAAGTCAATATGTATAACTCAGATTTGCTTTTATTTACCTGATACGTGAACTACCTTCAGAGCCTGATCTAGGATTACAAGGAACAGGAATAAACAGCGTTTATCTTTCCTTTTTATGTTTTAATTTTATGCTTTAAAAAAAAAGTTCCTTCTTTTTATATTCTTTGAAATGAATTCTGTTCTGCTAATGGAGTTGGATAAATATCACTAGGGGACAAGGCCCTCGAGGTCTGCAGGAGAAAGCTTTGTGATTCTGGGATGATGCACAGTAAGAGAACACTCTCAACTCATTCCAGTGGTGCCGTTGGGGAAATAACCATGACTAAGTCCTGATTTTATGGAAAAATCACAGTAAGGAATCAAAAGCTGCTTAGCAAAGTATAATCAACATATTCAAACTTTACAAACTTGCTTTTTTTTTTTTCCCTGGGCTCCTAATTTGAAAAAGTTCAGAGAAATAATTCAAGCCTGAAAAACAGTAATTAGAACGAAGTTCATCTGAAAGCTGGGAATTCAATCAGCTGAAGTACACTGACAAACAACTCTAGCTATAGACTAAAACCTAAGCTATTTTGAGTTATCTTAGATTGCTGAATGCCAAAATTAGAGAACAAAGGCAGGAAGTTAAGCTGTAGCTTTTGGCAATAAATCTGCAATTAAAGACTAGGTTTGATTTATGTTTCTGGCAAAATAGACATTCTTGGAACTTTCAGATTTAAAAAATTCGCAAAAGCTACAAAGCAAAGGGCTATCAAGAGATTAAAAAAAATCATGGAAATACACATGGAAATGAGTGGATAAAGGACTTTTAAAATGAGTTACAGAAAAGAAAATAACATAGAAATGAGACCAAGGGACAGCAGTGCCTTTTGGCACACACAGACTGAAACACACCACTGCCACACGATGTTGTGTTATACTGGAATTGTCAGACACAACCTGTGGAGTTGATTGTCTTTTCCTGCCTTGAAAAAATAGATGAAGAACTTCGTTACAAGGGTAGTATCTTACCTCTACTAATTTGGATGCCAGATACATAGAGATAGTAGTACTTTTGTAAAACATCATAGAGATTCCTGCTAGACATCCTGTAATGATTAGAAAACAAAAGTATTATTAAGATTGTGATATATTGCTGCTGTTGCAGCATGTCAGCTCATCCAACACTGCATAAGATTATGTTTTCTGTTGCTACAACAAAGTTCTGTGATGTTCCTGTGCTGCCCATCAAAATATGGTTTAGGTCGTTAAAAAGACTTTTGAAACCCTGAAATAAATCTGTAGTTTTATAAATCCCAGAATCACAGCCTCAAATTTCCTCTTTTCCCAGAAGGAAGAGAGACCTCTGAGATTCCACTACATGCTTAAAGGCATGCACCAGCACACAACTTTCATATCAAAAGGGTCCGTCTTTGGATGCAGCAAAGCCCATCCTCACAAATGTGTATTCTGTCACATATGGAAGAGTCAGTATTTCAACCTAACATCTCTAAAGTTGGAAAACAGAGGACAAGTTCACATTTGTGCATGTAATAATATACTGTCCTTAAGCTGACTATAAAACCCACACCATTTAACTGAATGTGCCTTACAATTTTAATTGTAACTCTTTATTTGAAGCTACTTGAAACAACACTGTCACTTCTGACACAACCTTTATGTACACGGTCCTGTTTTCATCACAGAAGTCTGAACAGGGAATGGGGGAACAGACAAGAGAAATATTTACAGAGTCTCAAAACAGGCAATATGAACTTCTTGGTATGGACTCACCAGCTACAAGTGCATGAAGCTCATCATCTAGGTTTCGTACCCAGCGCAGGAAGCAGCTAGTACCCTGCAGGTGAACAGAGAGCAGGATTAGCCCTAGTTACTTCTCTTTCATAATGCACAGACTGGAGATATTCCTCTATAAGCTACTAATATAGCGCACAGTATTAATTAGGAATGCAGTGTGATAATCCACAGTACCTGAAACATCTCAGTGTTTCAATCAACAGCTTACTGCTATCATTTCTTTCAAAATCACAGAGCAGATCATTCTAATTTGTACACCAATCCAATTTCAAGAAGGCCAACAGCATCCTGGCTTGTATCAGAAACAGTGTGGCCACCAGGACTAGGGAAGGGATTCTCCCCCTCTTCTCAGCACTGGTGAGGCCACAACTCAAGTACTGTGTTCAGTTTTGGGCACCTCAATACAAGGCAGACATTGAGGTGCTGGAGTGTGTCCAGAGAAGGGCAACTAAGCTGGTGAAAGGTGAGCACAGTTCTTAGAATGAAGAGCACAAGTCTTACAAGGACTGACAGAACTGGGGCTATTTAGTGTGAAGAAAAGGAGCCTCAGGGGACAACCTGTTGCTCTTTACAGCTCCCTGAAAGGAGCTTGTAGAACGGTGGATGCCGGTCTCTTCTCCCAAATAACAAGTGATAGGACAAGATAAAATGGCCTCAGGTCGTGCCAGGGGAGGTTTAGGTTGGATATGAGGAAAAATTACTTAACTGAAAGGGTTGTCAGGCACTGGAACAGGCTGCCCAGTGCAGTGGTTGAATCACCATCCCTGGATGGGTTTAAGTCACGTAGACAAGGTCTTTTCCAACTTAAACTATTCTATGATTCCAAAGCTAATATTGAATTCACATCATATTAATTTGCTGTAGTTTTCTAGACTCTTTCCTGTTATAAAGCTGGTTTTCAACTGCATCCAAACACCTTGAGATTTTGCCATTACACCAAATAAATTCTGTAACCAGGAAAATATATCACTCTAAAAAGTTAGAACTGTGGATGATGAAAAGACACGGTGAGACACATAATAACACGTAACAACCTGTCTGCTGACACAGACAGCACCACAGCTGTTCAGGCCAGAACAGATGTCAGCAATGGTGGCTTAGGCTGCACTGCAATACATTTCATTTGGGTGACTGCAGGTTCAGTGTCTTAATTCATCCAATGTGTGCACTTCATGGAATAAAAGAGTGATTTATGTTGGAAGGGACTACTGCAGATCATCTTGTTCAGCCTGAAGCAGGTCTAATTAGAGCAGGTAGCTTGTCCAGTTGAGTTCTGAGCATCTCCAAGGATGGAGACTATGCAGCCTCACTGGGCAACCCATTCCAATATTTGGTCACCCTCACATGAAAACGTATCTTCTTATACGTCTTCAGAATCTCCTGTATTTCTGCTTGTATCCATTGCCTTTCATCCTATCATTGCTCACCTCCAAAGGTGCAGGTAGCAGCAAAATCTCCCCTGAGCCTTTCTACTTCAGCTTGAAACCTATTTCTCCCAGTTTCTCCTCGCACATCGTATGATACAGTCCTCAAATTATCTTGGTGGCCCTCAGGTGAACCTACTCTTGAAAAACACACCAAAACTAAAAAGAAGAAATGGAGTAATATCTGGGTCCAAAAATGGACACAGTGCCACAGATGTGACCTCACTAGCTATTTTAATATGTCCATGTTTAATAAATAAATTCCATGCAAAGCTGTTGATACATTGCAATTATGACAGTCAACTTTCCTAGTCAAATTTTTACACTCATTTAAAAATGGAAACCAGACTACCAAAGGGGCCCAAAACTGAACACTGTATTTGAGGTATGGCCTCATTAGTGCTCAGTACTTACTTAATAAACTCTAAAGGAAGGTCAGAGTATGTCACCCTCTGTAAGGAGAATGCAGTTAATGAC